CTTAGACGGCAGTAAACGTTATATGACTCTCCCCCCTCCCCCACCAACCACAAACCACCGCTGCCGTTACCATTATGATCCAATACAAATTAAAAATATCCGGCTCATGATGAGGCAGGCGACGATCGCAAAGTCCGCAAAAGCAAATGTGTACGGTGGATGAGCGAGCGTCGTCCGCGAGACATCAGCGACGATGAAACTAATGAAAATAGCTGAGCTCCGATGCGACGGTGATTATCGTACTTCCAGAGCCCAGAGTATCAAGCGATGACCAAGACGCGTCTCCCGCTCGGAACGCTCGCTCGCGCTGAAAAGTGAAATTGTATGTAATGGCACGCAACAGCGCCACGCCCACGACTCGACCTTTCATTGTCTCAGGCCGGTTTGTCCAGGAATCCATGCAATCACGCATCCACGCACGCACTCGGGCATCATGCTCTTATGCGCGCATCGTATTCCATTACGCAATCAACGTCAACCGGCCATCGTGACTCGGTGGGCGTCCGCGATTGCGAAGGCTGCAAAAAGCCGAGCGACGAGCGTCTCGCTCGTTCTCAATCTTCAAGCCGCAAGCTTGGTTACTCCCTCCCCCCCCCCTACAAATACCCCACTCAATCATCAATCCGCCGCTTTTCAATTATCCTTTAACCGTCGCCAGCCTTCCGCCAGCAGTGCCCGCGACATTTCTTCTCTCGACGCTCTGGCAACCGACGACGACACCACGAGCTCGCAGTTTCAATGAAAATAAGCGAGGGTCGGAGTGCAATTTTATCTTGTTTACTATTTTGCGCGGCATTTAATTACGTAGCTCGGTTTGCCGGCGCGCGCACTTACTCGACGCTCTGCTCGCATGCACGCGGCTGTGTCTTCGTGACTCGCGATGGGTATTCCGAGCTCCGGAGCGGTATTAGGTAGGTACGTCGAGCTGCTTATCTTTATTGTCGATCGTAACTTCGGCCTGGCAGCCGAAGCGCAGCTTTTTCGCACCGACGGCGCTCGCTCTATAGCGCAGCATATCGCTCGATACCGGCGAAAACTCCCTTGTTCGAAGCTCCGGAGTCGCGACGCCTACGCGCCTCGCCATGGCTCGGAACGAGTCGTTGAGCGCGCCGGTTCGCTCGGCCGCGGAACCCACCGCCGTGGCGGAGGAGAAATATAGAGCCGTTATCGGGGTCAATCCCGAAGGAAGGGGCGCACTCGCCCCGAGGAGCAGCTCATGGGGGCCGGGAAGCTGGCGGCTCGCGGCGTAACCCAGTTCGGGAGAAGCGCGAACGACCCAGTTTCCTCGCCCCGGGAATTCCAGCCAGAGTGCGGAGCTAGTGCCGCCTCGACCGCGAGTGCCGCTGGCATCGGCGTCGGTGCATCGCGCCTGACCCATTTTCGCCTCGCGTGTCACCAGCAGTTTTGAAAGAGGCGCGCCGATTAACGCTGGCGCATAGCTATTTTTAACGTTCGCTCCTCTCCTCCATCTATCGTCGGCCGTCGTCGGCCGTCGGCGTCCGAGGCGTCCGAGGCGTCGCGACCGCGACTCCTCCAGACCGGGCGGCGACGACGATATTGTCGCCGGCCACTTGCCCAGCGGATCATTCCAATGGACGGACGGTGGGTGCGCGCGCGCCTAGGACTCCCTTGGCCAACTGGCCGATGAAAATGAGAAGCTTGGAGGTGTCGGTGGCGAGTGTGTCGAGGTAAATGTCGAGCGAATGTCCTCGTGCTTGGGACTCGAGATGGCCGAATCGATGGAGTGCACGAGCTGACGGCGGGGGTTGTCGAGAAGTAGTTGCCGGCTGAGATGGGTTGGGCCGTGACGGCTGGATGCTAAAGGAAGAGAAGGGCGAGAAGGGCGAGCTAACGGTAACGGACGAGCCTCGGGTCCGAGCCCCTTCCCAACGAGAGCTCCGGTAATCCGGAGTTGCAGTCTTATATTCCTGGCCCAGTTTGGCCGATCGTGATCACGATGCGTTTACAGATGGCTTATACAGGGGG